GCACTTGGCTGTGTTGAACCTCACAAAGTTGGTCTCAGCCCATTGATCCAGTCTGCCCAGATCCCTCTGTAGAGCCTTCCTATCCTCTAAGAAATCAACACTCCCATAGGTATCTCTTTCTCTCTCCAGCCTTCAATTAACATTATTCTATGCAGCATTCTTGTATTATACCAGTACGTGTCAACTGAATATTGTACACTCCTCTCATTAGCCTGATTATTAGTCTAAGTTTCTTTAAAAATTATTCTTATGCAATTGTGTATCACGTACCTCTAACAGCCTGGCTGTCTACTTCCTCCACTAATATACTTTGAACTCACTGACTAACTTTTAACACAAGGACAGAGGCTTCTAAGAGAATTAAGTTCTGACAATTCCATTAAAATAGGCAAATCTAAAAAGGGAAAAGGGAACCCACATAGAAAAACCAGATCTGACAAAAAGAAGAGGTAAAACTTCAGAGTTCACAATCAATTAAGATGCAAATTCATAGGCAACCAGTTCTACGTTAAAGTGCTCAAGACAAAAAGACCAAATAATATGCATGCATGTCTTAAGATGATACTTATCATCCTTAAGGACGGTAACAAGAAAGCAACAGGAAAGAAAAAAAGATAAAGTTCATATAGAAAAGGAGTAATTTATGATGACCTAATTACTGAAGAGAAAGTCTTACCATGCTCCTGAACAGGTGCCAGTCACCAAAATTCATATTCATTTCTTTTTTCAGTTCATCAATGTTGCACTGAGCCAAGACACGGCCATTTATATTTGCCTAAAACAATAAAACTAAATAATGTAAATCACCGATACAAGATCTATGGCGTGGCAACAACAGACTAAAAAGGTTATTAAAATTGGATAAGTTGATGGGCACTACTAGTGAAATTCCTCAACATCACTCTTAAGTCCAATCCTATAAGATAAACACGTTTAAATATATGTATTTATATATACAGATGATTGTTGATGGACAAGAACCTGTGTGTCGTAAAAAAAAGAAAACATTAAACCATCAAAAATGCGTATATGAAAAGGATTACGATTGTGTTCTATAAGCAGATGTAAGGAAACACCCCATTAATGGTAAAAAAATGCACAGATAATAAACCACATTCAGGTGCCTAGATTTCTCAGACTCAGGACACAAACAGACTGCAGAGGCCCAAGTATCTGAAGATAATCAGACAATTAAGTCCCAGGCATCATCTGACCATTGGCTTGAAGCACCTAAGGTAAGTACTACCTCCACCAAGTTCCCTCCCTGCGTAAACACAGGCTTACATTCCTCCCATCACCAGAAATATCCCAGGATAGAAGGCGAGACTTCTTTTTCATCATCATTCAGAGATCAACACAGAAGTGCCAAAACACCACCTACATTCCAGGAAGGTGATTCCTTCTGTTGGGCACGTTTATACAGCGCTGAACTTCCAACACCACCAAATTCAATACAGAACCGCTGGCATTACCTAACAACGGGACGCATTTCACTTTGTACCACGTATCAGTGGGTGGGCAGAACGCAGAAGGGGAACCGTGTCTTAGGGGAGTTGCCACGAAATGGAAGGCCCAAGGTGAGAGGCTCAGGCTCATCTCAGTGGTTTTGTTCCCATATCCCAGCAGATGGTCTTAATCAAACCAGGAAAAAGACCGGCCTGAGGCACTTTCATTCTTCCTTTTCAGACTGGTGACAATAAAAGTAATAAAATGGATTCTGTGCTAAGGTCTCAGAGAAAAGAACAGTAACAGAAAAATGCGCAGTGGCCTTTTTCTGAAGCAAATAGATGCAGAATGTGATAATGGAGAGAAACGGGACCATCTTCACCACTCACTACAACAGAAGAGATGTGCCAGTTTCTCAGGTGAAAAAATAAGGGATGTTTCTACCTGGATACAGAACACATTTGCAACACTATTTATCTACACGTGGCAATTTTGAAAGCCTTTTTCTTGTCGCTTTTCTCAAAATAACCAGTCTCACCAGCATTTATATTTCTGAGTCTGTTTTTCCATCTCGAGAGAGAGCATTTTCTCTGAAAAACACATGCTCGTATTAAAATGTCCTCCAAACTTAGCACACACACAGTTAGCACATTGTTTTGGCATTTAATGTGTTTTAATAAACACGCAACTACCTATTTTCTTTTCCTTGCCTATCTCCACGTTTAGGTACTAAATACATTAATGAAATACAGCTGATACCTTTCTTATAGTTGCAGAGTACTGAGGTAGCATGCTCTGGTCCAGACCGTCTATCTGCTTTAGCTTCTCACACACAGCTTCCACACTCATTGTGCTCAGAGACACATGTGATGCTCCTGCAGTCGACCCTGTGCCTGCTCCCGCTCCCTGCAAGAAGTGAGAAAACGTGCACTTAAGATTTGTTCAAATACTCGGTACACCCAGAACGTCCAACATACACTAACACAAATCAAGCACCATTCAACTACATTTTAAAAGTTAAGAAATGAGAATAAGAATGCACAAGCGGTTTTAATTACTATCAGAATATCTATATATTGAGAAAAATTTACTATGGGTATTTATATGAGAAAAACCACAGCATCTTGAGTCCTGCCTATGCAGGAAAATAACTGTCTCCAATAATGTTATTTAAGAAAAGCAACATAAAAATCAGAAATACTGAGTAAGTGTTAATCCATTTCAAATGCATCTATACTCAGAGTTCCACCCTGATTTCAGTAGTTAGTTTGGTTTAGGGTTTGTTCCATTTGTTTGTTTGTTTAATAAAGCAGACACAACTTAGATATTCCTGTCTTAAAAATTCCTGGTTTAGTATCAGAGATGACCTAAAACATAACTCCTCGATTACTTGGATTCATCAGGTAATTTTAGCAACACCTGTCTGTTTTCCAGAGGGTCCTTCAGCTTTACATCCCTTATGCAAGATCAGCCAAGGGGCTGTGTAGCACAGCACAGAAACACAGAGCGGCACTGCCACTGCCCTCCAAGATACTACGGGGATGCTTCATACATCTCAAGCCTTTGCAAGATTTGGGTAGAAATTATTCGCAGCTCAGATCCGTAACATTGAAGTTGTCCTGTTAATTTTGCCAGCTTCTGGGATTTTCAAAGGAAGCATGAAAACGCAAAACAAACACATCTGCAGGTAGTCAGTGTACCAAGACAGTATGTTCTCAAAAGAACCCACATTATCTCTGGCTGGGGACCTGTGCATTAAGTGGGGGCAAAGTGCAAAACTCTGAACAGTTAGGCTAGTGATTCCAAATTCCTATCGAGCAAAATCAGAACCAGTTCTGTCAGCTAGGAAATACTTGTACGCCCTCCTCCTGGGAGGGAGTCCCTACCCTGCCTTCTTCTGAACGTGAAGTTCTGGTTTCAGCAACGTAGACCATGCACCTAATGCAGATCGTTTTGGGAGGATGCAAACGAGCTTCCAAAGCTTCAGAGCTCATCACTATATGCATAAAACCCTGGGATGTAAAAGTGCATTTTGACTACCTGGAGTTCAGTTAATCAAGTTGACTATATACCTCAAATCACCAATGAAAGCTATTTTTTGTAGTCACAATGGTTTTTTCCATCTTTATTAAATTATTTCAAAGTTATTAAATCTTTCAAACTTCATATAAATTAATAGATGCAAACATATTGCTTATGAAAACCAAGGATTATCATGCAGAATGGCATTAACCATACATAAATTATCTAAACCAGGATCTTTAGGAAGAGTTTATTCAACTATTAATTCCAAGGCAGCAATCCAAAACCACATTATCTGCAACCATTTAACCTGAGAGTTATTTCTAACTTATTCTTACGGGATACCCCCATCAGGGGAGGTTGGCATGCTGCCCACCTAAGCTGCTCTGAGATTCAAAGTTTAGATGCTATTACATGTAATTCCCCCAGAGTTCCCAGCCAGACATGCTTGAAATGGACTTAAAACTGGAGAACTATCAGCTTCACTCAAGAACCCGACAGAAGGTTGTGGGTAGTCTAAGCCTGACGCTTTGCACACTTGCCTGAAAACAGAGTTGGGGCACTAATCCTTGTTCCTTTGAGCATTTGTATTATTGTGATATCAACGGGACACGAAAACAAAAGTTATATCCCATTTTCTGGGTAGGCAGTCTACCTAAATTACTTAACAAAAATCAAGCATTATCATTCCACTACAGTCTAGCCACCTAATTTAGGGGCTTGGTACTCCTGTGGACAAGATAGACACTTTTCCCTAATTATGTGCCTACAAATCCTAATTAATTATCGTATCAGGTACCTAAACGAGGAAATTTAGTTCTTAATCTAACATGTTTAGCACAGCTAAGATCTTTGTCACGTTAAGGACATAGCTCAACCATCAAACTGATGAAGATGACAGGAGGAAGCTTCATCCATAACCTATTTATTGTACACTTATGTACATCTCTGTTCTTCCTCTTACAAAAGATCAATTTTGTTTTTTCTTCAGAATGCCAGGTTTATCTATGATTTCACCATAACCACACTATTTGCTATTGGTCTGAGTTAAGTAATATATTAATGGAGAAAAGGTATTAAGTTAATTCAAATCTTAATTACTTTTTGAAAGCAAGCTTACCAATTAAAGAAACCATTCTAGCCAAAATTACATTGTCGCACTACTAAAATAAATGATCCCTAAACAACGTGCGTAAGCAATTGTCTTTCTTCTCTGAATCTATTTCATTATCTACCAATACCTACAAACAAACGAAGAAAAGTTTTAAACACTTCTAATTTAACAATCCTTCTTCAGATCAAAACATTTTTTAAACAATCAAGAACAAGTCATGCATTCTGCATGCGTTAAGAGTTTGTTTAGAAACTCTTCTCTCTGCGTATAAAAAAAATTTGGGAAAGTGCTAAAATATTTAGACTATTTTTGTTGAAGTGTGAACTGTTTGAAATAGATGCACATTAATCCAAATCATTCTTTATAAAAAGCACTCTCCAAAGAATAAGTAATGTAATAGCTGTAGGGATACTGTCATCATGTAAATGAATTAAAACTGTACTTAAACTGACACATTTTTCAGCCTTAGTGGTTTTGTTAGAGATACTTAGAGAACATTAGTCTGAAAAGTATTTGCCATGCAAAAGCTAAAAGCAGCTTGTCAAAACAAACCTCAAGGCTAGTAATGAGCATTAGTTTGCAGACAGCCCAGCATGAAGCGCCAGTATGATAGCTTCTGAAATGACTCTGAAACATGTGAACGATAATTGAGCAAAAGTGGTGTACCTGTCTGTTTTTGTTTAACCCAGACTTACACGGCTTTGAGAAGAGGACAAAACAGAATGAACAGAAACAACAGCTTAAAGTGACATCAGAAAGGTTGAACATACAGATGACATGCTTTGAGGTAAACAGAGGAAATCGGTGTTAGGACAGAAACAGGTTATCTTCGTAGTGTGATGAAACCTTCAAGATAGACCTTCAGAATATGCATTTAGTATATGCTAGACAAATACTGTTTTCCTATGAGCAGACTACTGCACTTGTAAAAACAGTGACACTTGCCGTACTTTTATCAAAGTTTTATATTATGTTTCTGATGGACAATCCTGCTTTTAACCATTCTCCTGCCATTTCGAGATCCCATTATACACCACCGACGCATCTCAAGTAACTTTGAAACCTTGTATTTAAGCACATACCCCCCACTCCCATCTCCCCAATAAAGCAAAACACCACCACCCACAAAACTGAAAAGGTGGGACTTTAAAGAACAAATATTCAAAGTACAAAAATGCTGCATTAAAGCACCTGGAAAATCCACGTAAAAAAACTCCCATGCCACGTGCTTTCATTCACGCTCAAACTTTTCAGAAGTGCTTAATTTCTTGGAGAGTACTCTGTGTTCAGCTACACTACACGAGAACTAACATGGCCCAGAGCATCTGAAGCACACCCACTCCACCTTAAGTTACCGTAGGTTCAATGCAGCATGAAGAACGTATTTAAACTAAGTAACTATAGTGTAACAAGCTCCATCCTAGCAAGTCATAATTAACAATGGAAATGAAAGCACACAATTAAGTTTATGACAGATAACCACTGCTAATGCTGATTTAATTTCTGACATAATAGGGGGTACTATGAACAGACACTGGTTAACACCACGATCCAACGACAAACTCTTCAGAAGAGCACTCTGGAAGTTCCTGCAGATCCTGTCAGAAACAACCGTTTGTACAGTGAAGTCAGCAGAAACGCATGTTTGCCTCCACCACCGATGCGCAAAGGTTGACGTCTTAAGTCAAGCCCATTTTAATTAGCGATTGGAGCCAATACCCTAAAATTTGCGGCACGCCTTCACGCTGTTACAGCTACATAGATGGTGCGGGTAGAGTTACGGGTTTGACATCTGTGTTTAGTGTTCTTTACCGAATGGATCCAAACTACAGACTGAGAAAGAAAAGTTTTAGCATCACCCACAGAATCCAAATACAGAAGGTGGCAGAAGGCAAATTCTTGATACATGATGCCTGCTCTCAAAATATTCCCGATTTCCACTCCGCTAACCTAGACTTACACCGATTTTACAAGACTAATGATTAGGATCTGAACTTGCAGAACTCTGCCAACTTCAGTGTCAGCCTGACAACAGCAGAGCCTTAACTAGATCATGTCACATCCTTGGCCCAGCTCTGCCAACTCATGCAATGAGTAGCAGTGACGACAAAATGGAAAGAAAATATTCCCAAAGAAACTAGGTTTTGCCCTGTAAGACTTAAAAAATTCAGAATGACGATTGTCTTTTCTACATAGAAGGAAAATTGCAACAATTCTGGCTCCCTGCCCGATTTCCATGAAAGACAATTTTGATTCTACATGCTCCTCTTGTTTTCATTCATCAAACCACTTACACGTCCTGGTGTTCATTAACTACTTCGTGCATTTTTTTAGTTTATTTCATTACTTCGCATGCACCAATCCATTAATAATTAAAAGCTGTATCATTTATATAGTGGCAATGACCCATCAATTAAGAGCTACCTAAATAGCTGGATGAAATTACTGCACCCATCACCTGCAAAGGATAACTGCAGCACCTAAAACAAGGATTCCTTTCAAAGAAATTTAAGAAATTTCAAAAAAACCTACAACAGAAGTTTTTTTTGGAACAGATGAAACCCTGATGAGGCATCCTGTCAGGCACACAAAATACCATATCCCAACTAACAACATTCTCATCAATTATCCAAAAGATTTTCAAAAAATACAAAATTTTAGATTTACACTGTAGGTTAAAAATTGCTAAATCTTAGAGAAGTGATCTGATGTGCTGTACTACACAGATTCACAGTAGTATAAATTAAACTCAGAAATAGATCTAACAATACATCCTCCATTATCATCACTTCAAACAATGTTTCTTTTTCATGTTCTAACTCCTGAATTTTCTTACCTACAGCCAACAGACTATGCAACCTCCGTGAGCCTTTTAGATCGCTGTTTGAAACTGCCGCCTATGTGTGTCTGAGATACACAGAAGAGCAAGCAGAAGAGCAACCAGATCCAGGTCTGCTGCTGGAGCTCATGCACTACTTTACCCTGAGACTAAATCCCACTTTACAGTCCCATGTCCCTTCTCACACACATACTTCAGCCACCACTCTACTAATTTCTCAAAAGCCCTTACTTTTTTTCCTTGCACTGAGAAGCTGCAAAGAACTGGGAAGAGAATGGGATACTGAGAAGCAATCAAACACAGGGAAGGCATCAGCATCTCCAAAATTATACAAGAAAAACTTACCCCAAAGTCATCCCTTTACATGAGCTAGCTAATCACCCTGGAGAGAGAACTGGAGGGTATGTTTTCCATTGCGTCACCCATACATGGGTGTTCAGTGAAGGTTATGTGCAGTTAAATACAGCTCTCGAATTTGTGTGGGCTGGTTCTTTAATTGCACAACAATGGAAAGACATTTTTGCAATGATTTAATCGAAGCAAAAATAATCAAGATCAAACTGTAATTGTTGCCAACAACTATCAGCAGCAAGCATTAATAGGATGACGGAATCATATTAACCTCTTTGCTTTGGTAATAAATCAGTATTTTTCATCTATTCCCACAGTTAGAGTTAAAACACACCCGTAAACACAACACCTTTGTGTGAATACTTAGGATAAAACAAGAACAAGCCATGGAAAAGGTAGATGTTAGCATTCTGACTCAAGAAGCAGCTTATGACCATGTGTTTTTTTTTTCTTTTCAAATTTCTATCAGAAGTTATTTTATACTGTGTTAACTGCAATAGCTTTATGCCACCAGCTAAAGAAGTAGGGATCAGGTGAGAGAGCTGACTCAAGCAGCAACCACAGTTACTTCATTCTAAAATCTAAGCACTGAATGACTGGCTGTCATTCTTCACTCTGTTTAGCTACCACAACACTTCACTGAAAGGTCACCACAGCTACTGAAAAAGGCAAGGGGAAAAACTACGGGGAAAAATAATACATCTTATAAGTGAAGTTATTAGCTCTTAAATTCATTCACGAACTACATTAGTTTTCAGCTACTCTATTTGCCCACCAAAGCCACTGATGCAGTGTTAGTGAACTGCAGTTATGATTAATGCAGACTCATTACTGCTGAAAAAGCAATGAGATGCTAAAATTTCCACACCACATGACTACTCGTTTACCATTGAGGGGTCTGTGGGTGAAGGAAGCCCCTCATCAGCATCCTCCTTGATAACATCCTAACAACAACAAAATATTACGGTTTGGGTAAAATGATCAAGGGCTCAACAAAAAAAATATGAAGTAAACAGTGAATGAGAATGATCCCGTAATAATACACAATTCAACAGAAACACATTTGTTTGCCTTAAGTGATTAAAGATTTTACCACCTTTTAATAGCTTTGCACATCGTATCAATATCCTAGAAATAAAGTGATTGACAAGTGAGGCTTTTACTTTTTTTTTAGCTTTCCTTAGCTCTTAATTCAATTTGAACAGCCATCTGTCAGTAAAATAAATACTGTTAAATAGGAATTTTATTATCCTATAGGAAGCGAGAAGTCTGCTCATTTTTCCTTTTCAATGGGTAAATAAGGTTGAATTATATGTACTTAAAACCAAGCTAGAACTGACACATACTTAGGATAAAATGTATTTTGTTTTACTTACATATTTAAAACGTTCCTTTCAACTATTTACTTTGGTCTTCCAATTTCTAGTATTCTCTACCACGTGACAGGATGTCATTTTCTCTTGTAAAATTTGAATAAAAATTTATAAGTCCCACTCTTTCTTACAGTGTGACACTATCAATTTACTGTAGTACAGCAGGCATTTTCATCAGAATATTTTCCTGCCACTATTAACAGGTCATACTCCTCTAATCTTGATAGCTGGACGTTAGAATTGGTTCTCCTCAAAGTGATTTCTAAAGTTCAAACAAAATACATTTTACATTACATGTTAATAACACCTTTGCTTAAACTATTTGTATGAGGGCTGCTATGGGGAAGATTTAACTCCTTTTCAGCCAGACCCAATACAAATACAGAGCTTAGACTTGTCTAATGGCGAACTGTCATTGACAACCTTCATTTTCATTACTCACTACATTTATTGTCTAGGTTAGTATTTGAATTATCCTTCAAAATACTTACTAGGCCATTGTTCTGATCTCTGGACAAACTCGTTTTTAGTGGTGCACGTGAGATGAGATGAGAACTGCCAGGGTAATACCTTGGCATGTAAAGATATGGGGCAAAGAATGGCTATGGAAAAAAAAAAAATGTAACAAAAAAAGGGACAAACAATTACACAAATCAAAATGTAATAGTAAAATAAAACTTATTTCAACAAAACACATCCTCTAGTTGAGTTTAATAAAGTGAAAACCAGCAGTTTCTAATAGCTTGCTTTATTTTTTGCATTGAACAGAATTCAGTCAAAAGCTCTGGAGCGAGTTCTACAAAATCTCTCCGAGCCAATGGGTGCTCTGGCAAGGTTTTCTGCAGGAACAGAGTTGGAGTGGTTTTGGTAGCTGCACTCCAACATCTGTTCTAAGCACGGGAAAAGGATCATTTAAGCATAACACTGATAATTTCACTCTCTCCAACTTGCTGAACTCATAATCAGATGCTAACACAGGTGGTGTTTCATAATACTGCAGACAACTGTACCAAAAGAAAGCAGCATGGTACATAGTAGTATCACTAGAACTTGCCGTATCTGTGGTAACCAAACTGAAGGCTTCCACAAATGCTGGATTTTGTAAATAGATTTTTATAGCAGAAAATGTTTGAGCTTTGTTTTGTTGGAAATACATCAATGCATGTTGTTCAATACAAATACCATTTTAATGGACAAAATTATTATAAAACAAATATCAAAAACATTTTTAAAAAACAAATACATTTTTTTCCCCACAAATATCAGTTAACTCTAATCATGATTTTTATAACCATGTTCATTTTAATCCCTTTTTTACTAATAAATTTCACAAAAAGAAACACTATCCCAGTGTCCAAGTGTCTTATCAGCACTTCAGTGTAAAGGGTCCAACTGAGAACTCAGGCTTTTAATGAAGTCACTTCTAAAAGATCTAGAGATCTCAAAATTACAAATAAACTTCCATTTGAACAGATGACTCCATATGCTCCCATCTTTCAAGTGCTAAAATCAGGTGTATAAACACATTTCCTGAAATCCAGGTGCTACCCACGGGCATGCAACAAAATGAGCGTGCATGAGAGCCATCCACCTCACAAGTGGTAATGCAGTTATTAGTACAAACTGCTTCTCCAACATTGTGACATTTTCTTCTGACCTATCTGCGAATTTGAGTTTGGTTTTAAAATAAGGATTTTCATTTGCTTATCAATTCTCCTTTTAGGCAACACAACAGAAAGCATTAGCCTTCAGATTTTAGGAAAAGCAGAATTATAGCACTCATTGCTTTCAACTCATGACCCAGTTATTTAAAAAGAAAACCAAAAACCTAGAAATCTCAAAATAACGGTCGTATTTCAGATTTCTGATGTTTCTATACATAATAGAATCTTGAAAATACTATTCAGCTGTTTAATAAAACAGAACATATTATTTGGTTTGTGTTTCTGCACATGACAAGATTCTGCGTAATCTACTGCACCAAATTCAGTAGAGAGTAAATAACTATATGACTCAAGGGCTGATCTATGAGTGAGGAGTAAAGTTTGTTGAAATATTCCACTTTGGCCTTGCCAATAAGGGCTAAAAACCCCTCTGCATTCAGAAGCAGCTGTAAACGAACTGGGAAGTTCAAGTTTAATCCCTGCGTACACCACTTAGAGTTGTAGGTGCCACCTAAGTAACTGATTTATGGAAAATACAAATGGTTCCATATTCTTAGCTGCTAGATGTAGTCTCTGCACACTCTCAGATAATTACCACAAAGATTTCATATGTTCTTTCAGCGTATGAAATTACATGATATGCACTGCAACCCTTAGTTTAAATGGGGAGGTTTGGTTTAAGTAGGTAGGACAACCAATACCTAGTGTTTGCCTTACATTTCTTGGTTTGTATAGGATGATTCAAGAAATTCACTTATTTAAAATTATTTCACTGTCGTAAGGCAGATTTTTATGGTATTTTCTGGAAATTAAACTCTATTCAAAATAAGTTCACGTTATTTCTAGAATAATTAACTGCCTCCGTTTTCCACTAACGGCTTAAACCGCGTGGAAAACCCACAAGCATGAAATGCTTAATGATCATACTGCATTCAAGAGCCTATCTCCCAGTGCGAAGGCTATCCTCTGAAACACGCAGTCAGCACCTGTTTGTTGGTTGCGAGTCATCAAACTACAAAGCAATGAAAAAAATTTGTCCAATAAGGCAATTATGGAATAATTCTTTCATAATTTCTAATTATGCCTTGAGCCTGCTTCAACTACTCCACTGCTTCCCAACTGTCAGATTAATTCGCCCTTCTAGGCTTGAACTCCACAGACTCAATCTTTGTTTGAAGTACAGTAAGAGAGGTATCATGAAAACACAAGATCAATATAAATACATGCTGGGCATAAACCAGCATTGAGCTGTTCTCCACGTTTGCAGATAGCCTATAAGGCATAAGTGTCATGTTTATTTGTTATTATTTTCCCAAGATACCAAAGAATTTGCTCCTCTTGTGCTAAAAAAGAGTCTTCACAAACCATAATTTCCAGTTCCCACCCAGGAAATCCCAATTAGATTTGCCTACTGCTCTGCCCTTCCCCATAAGAAATATGCTCTCCATAATGATCCATGATGGCAGTGATTTTGAGAAGCTGAATTGGAATCCAACTTGTAGCCAGGCCATTAGACAGTGCTGAAACGTACATGTCCAGCACAGTTCTATACTGAGAGCCAAAGCGGCAAGTGGAAGGGCTGCTAAATGGGACTATGAACTTTCCTGCACAGCTACACAGAGAGAAAATGGGGTTTTAAACCAAAATTGAATAGATTATGTCACTGCAAGTTCAAGGTCTGTAGCACAGGAGCATCTAAAGAACAAAGCAGAACCATGCATAATAAAAAAAATATATATATTTCCTAAAAATAAACAGAGATTTTTACCCAACAGCTCAAAGGCTTTTTCTTAAGCACAAATGAATGCTTAAAGACATCAGGACAAGAATCTTTTACTGGTCTGAATGAGGGATCCACCCCCAAACTTAAGGTGTTCTTGCATAAAATTCAGGCACTTCCACAGAAGCATCTGAACCTGCTGTCATACAGGTATCCAAGACCTCTCAAACTTCTACTGGGGAGAGCCTATTCTGCAGCTGCTGTTCTTTTTTTAAACACCATTCTTACAAAAACCTGAGAGGTGAAAAATGATAGAAAATACTGAAGGAAACAGCCTTTAAGCCTAGATTTTCTACTGTAACAAGGGCCTCATCACTTACCTCAGTATGTGGTGGTCATGACAGTACCTTTATGACTTCAGAGTAATGATCATAGCTCTTTGTAAATATTTGAAATTGTAACACTAAAAACAAATGTACCTTACAAGAGCAGTATAAAATTCCAGAGAGAAAGACCAAAACAGAAGTATTCTAGTCTCCAGCAGGCAAAAAAGTAAGCATGCCTTTAAGCCTGTGTATGCACTTAATACAAGTGAACAAATAAACTGATTGCAAAAAAAGCTTACAGCTCACCAATAATTGCTTTTGTAATGCTCATTAGGAGACAAAAAACCCCAACCAACACGTTTCAACTACGTAGCACCCCAGACTTTAAACCTTGTCATGTACAGTAACACAGACACAAAACCAGGGCTTCCAATTAAACACCTACTTCAAGAAAGTTAAGCTAATATCAGCACGAAGATTCATGTGACAAGCGTTTAGCAGTGTTGGGACTACTTCAAGGTGTATGTCACTTTAAGTCATTTTCAACAAAACAGTATATTGTCACTGTATTGAGGACATATAAGAATAATTTTGAACAGGTAACTTAAATTTCTGTGCTACATGTACACTTTCTGCCTTGGTTAACAAACACTGATTTAGGAATAACTCAATTTTCATTCCAGCTTATTAGCTTAAACATTTACCTACAGTCAAATCTACTTAAAGTTGAAGCCATTTCCTGTATACAGAAGTAAACTATGAGTTCTATCTGCTTTCTACTTTTTTTTTTTCCCGACAGTACTGCAGAAAAAAAAAATGTAGCAAGTTTAAAAATACTGAACACATCCTATAAAACTACAAAAGTTAGGACTTGATCTGACAATACAGTTAAGCACTTCATTCAATTTTCAAGGGAGCCATGTCCAGGACTATGTTTCCTGAGGCCCACAAACAGCTCAGAATATGTGTTTTATGCAATTTATGTTAATTCCTTTAAACTAGTGCAACACCAGTTTAGGGAAAAGATCCCAGAATAACTTCAAAAAGAGACAAACGGGAGGACAGACATACATGCTTGTGGTGTAGCTCCCCACCTGAGTTTCTGCATGTTTTAACCAAAGTCACCAAGAAAAAGCGATTCCGATGCCTGTGAGCAAGTGTATGAATGATTGAGCACAGTTTACCCCACAAAAATAAAACACACCTTGCAATATCCTACAACTAGGCAGTGTCTCAAAATGATTTTAACTTTCTTCCCCATTGGATAACTTGTTTTTCCTCATGTGATGTACCAAATTTCTCCCACAGCCTACAGTGACTGAACATTACTGTAAAATTTACCAACTCTTGGACTTTTCTCTATTCCTAAATAAAATATGCCCGAGTCTTAATATTTTATAGATGGCATCTGCAATGTTACCAGATTAAATCACAAGAACGTTAATTGGTTCTCGATTATTTACCCGATTGTAAAACGGATGCTGAGGTCCTGTCATACCACTATAGTAACTGCTGTGAGGCTGCGGTGACAAAACTCCGCTGTTGAAAGGGCCGTTGAAGGAGGCTGTAGAAGAGCAAGCTGATGAAGGCTGACTAAACAGAGAAGTTGCTCTAGCAGGTGCCTCATGTAAAGGCAACGTGGGATAAGGAAGTCCTCCAATATTCATTTGATCTCTTGCAGCACGAACGTCTGAAAAATAAAGAGGTAAAAACTAATGAGACTTTGCTTGAAATATTTGGAAATGTTTTGATTTGTTTGCTAATTCATTAAGGTACTTTTTTGTGTATTTAACTCCAATCACAGCTCATCGAGTAGAACGGCAAATGTCACTTTCAGCTGCACACCGTTGATTTCTTTTGAGGATCCCATACACACTGGAGTCTTTGGGAGAGTTAGGACAATTTATTGCATAAATTTATGCAGTATATTAAATGCCTCTAAACATTCTCAAGAGAGAACAAGTTATAATTTCATCCCAAATAGGAAGAAATGCAGGAACACATCATGCCAAGTCTGTCTCCGATACGAGATACAGTCATAGTGACATAGTCTATCACATACAGTGATGTGATTGTCAGACCCCTATGGTTTCTGAAGAGATACACAAGACGGGGCTTGTGTACAAAGCCAGGCTGCCCCACTGCAGCTAGCAAGTGCAGAGAAGGAAGTCGGAAAAAGCAAGAACAAAAAGCATTCCAGTTGAGGACTGAAGAAGAGTGTCATGACAGAAAAGACAGGCAAAGCAAACTATTCGTACCTGAATTCTGTTCCCACCTAGAATACTGGTTTTCTTCAAAGCTTTAGCATCGCTTAACAGGTGGAAATGTTAAGAAACCTTAGTCTTATTCCACAGCCAATAGCTGTGCACTATTACAATAGTAAGACTGGACAAGAAGTGCCATCCCACATATCACATCAGTCCACAGCAGCAGTGAGCAATGAGAGCATTTAATGCTCAGCAGAGTGGTTTTGCAGAACAGAACCTGAACTTGGCTGCTTTTTTTGACACTACAAGCAAGTACATATAATAGTTTAACAACCACTGCACAATAAACACCACTTGTCCTAGGATGAATTTAAATATAGCAGACTATACTGTTATACTATACTGGTGCCACTGTACAGGTGTCTAGTGGGGAAGACATCAAATGGAGATGTCCCACTTTGTTTCACCAGCTTCAGTCCTACAGGATCTTACTGACACTATTCAAAATTGTTACATGTCTAGAAGTCAACTTGCATCTCTACTACTAAAATATCATTGTGTGTATTGGTTTCCTTCATCTTCTAAAGCGCTCTTCAAATTAAGAACAGTGGACTTCCCCCTCCAAAGAGATGCTTTAGTCTAGTATGATCTGGCCTCAGCAAAGCTACGAAGTGAAACCAAATGGCCTGTTACTGAAGTCAAATCAATCTGAAGGTCTGATATGATGAATCAGGCAATTGGAATGGACCTCTAGAGATTACCTAATCCAACTCCCCTGCCAAAGCAGGTTCACCTAGAGCAGGCTGGACAGGAACACATCCAGGTGGACTTGGAATACCTACAGAGAAGGAGACCACAACCTCTCTGGGCAGCCTGTTCCAGTGCTCTGGCATCCTTGAAGCAAAGAAGTTCTTCCTTACATTAAGATGGAATTTCCTGTGTTCCAGTTTGTGCCCACTGCCCCTTGTCCTGTTGCTGGTCACAACTGAAAAAAGTCTGACCCCATCCTCCTGACACCCACCCTTTAGATATTTGTAAGCATTGATGAGATCCCTTCTCAGTCTTGTCTGCTCCAGGCTAAACAGACCCAGCTCTCTCAGCCTTTCCTCATGAGAGGTGCTCCATTCCCGTGATCATGCTCGTAGCCCTCCACTGGAGTCTCCCCAGAAGTTCCCTATCTGTCTTGAGCTGGGGAGCCCAGAACTGGACACAAAAAAAAAGGTTGGTGACAAGCAGCAAGGAAACCCCAGCATCGCGGGGTGAGCTCCATGCTTCTCACAGAATGATAGGGGCTGGAAGGCACCTCCGGAGATCATCTGCCCAAGCAGTTCACCTAGAGCAGGCTGGACAGGAACACATCCAGGTGGACTTGGAATACCTACAGAGAAGGAGACCACAACCTCTCTGGGCAGCCTGTTCCAGTGCTCTGGCATCCTTGAAGCAAAGAAGTTCTTCCTCACATTAAGATGGAATTTCCTGCGTTCCAGTTTGTGCCCACTGCCCCTTGTCCTGTTGCTGGGCACAACTGAAAAGAGTCTGACCCCATCCTCCTGACACCCACCCTTTAGATATTTGTAAGCATTGATGAGATCCCTTCTCAGTCTTCTCTGCTCCAGGCTAAACAGACCCAGCTCTCTCAGCCTTTCCTCATGAGAGGTGCTCCATTCCCGTGATCATGCTCGTAGCCCTCCACTGGAGTCTCCCCAGAAGTTCCCTATCTGTCTTGAGCTGGGGAGCCCAGAACTGGACACAATACTCCAGATGTGGCCTCACTAGAGCAGACTAGAGGGCGAGGATAACCGCCCTCGACATGCTGGCCACGTTCTTTGTAATGCCCCCCAGGATACCACTAGTCTTCTTGGCCCAAGGGGCATATAGCTGGCTGGTGGTCCACCCGGAATTCCAGGTCCCTCTCTGCAGAGCTGCTTTCCAGCAGGTCAACCCCCAAACTGTATCTGTGTCTAGGGTTATTCAATCAACAAATGTGAACAAATCAGGATTCTATGTAACATACAAAGTAGCTCTACCAAAAATGAAAAGAAATAATACGATTGCCATTTTCCATTTAGTCGAAAGCATACTCACCTGCAATGATTTCTCGTAGCTTGGGATCTAAGTTTACAGTACATGGCAAAAAGGTTCTTACATCACGGGCGACAAGAACAGGTGTTCGAGAAGATAAAAATACTTCAAAGTTCCGTATATCTCCATCAATTTCAAGCAGAGGTTCAACATCTTTAGTTGTAGGAATATTCTTTGAAATTCTGTGGGGCAGAGGAGAAGGAAATTAGATAAATCATAAACCATGTTTATTACAGCATGACCTACCATTTGCATAGTGATATTCTAGGGTGAAATTACAGTACACTTGCATCCATTGTCCCTGTTCTCGGGAAAATAAAGAGAACCCATGAAGAGCTGCACTGTCTGAAGAACAAACAATTTAACACTTTCTAATATGCAAAAAATCTCAAACTTCTAAGCAACATGATATAATTGTGTGCTGCAGAGAAATCTCAAAGAAGCCATACAGAAGAGTAAAATCAGATCAGGAATTTATAGATCAGTAACATCAAATAAAAAGTAAGAGGAAGTTAATATTTGTCAGTGTGAACCTCAAACATCCATTCAAATCCTGATACCTCAATCAGAAATTTCACTCTTAAAAATCTCATTTTTAACTAACATTTCTTGTAACAGGAACACTTGTCAGGCATCTTAGACATCAATCAAAACCCAACTGCATGGGATTTCATGGTAAAAAGCGGAAAAACAACTGCCTGCTTTCAAGTAATTCACCTTCTGAGATAAGAAGCCACAATCAAGTAATTCACCTTCTGAGATAAGCCACACAAAGAAGAGAACAACAAAATAATGAGACACGATCAATATAAGGGACCATTAGAAACACAGAATCTGTGTTGGAAAAGACCTTTAAGATCAAGTCCAACTGTTAACCCAGCACTGCTAAATCCACAACTAAATGTTGGTGCATTATGACTGCTGTCAAGCAGCAGTGGGTTTTTCTGTAAGCATCAGTATAAAGGACAGTTTTAGGAAAGGACAAGAAGGATTACATGCTATCCTTGTGGGAGTTGGCAAAAAGCTCCTACCAAATGCAAACAAGTGATGGAGGAGGCTGACGTGATGGGACAGATGAACCTATTTTACCTGACATCTCATTTCATAGTATCGTGACTGGCATCTCATCTGATAGCAAATGAGAAATGATAATCTAAATTAAAGTTTACTAAAATGAAAAAGTGTTTCTCACACCCAGGATAACCAGAAAGGAAACAGTGAAAGAATCCACTGAGAATGGTTAATGTGGTTACAGTAATGACTATAAAATGGCTGTGACAGCACTCTGTTTGGATACCAGTGAAGTAACCGCACTGTATTTAAAGTAAAAATATTTAAAAAGTTATTAAGAAAAAAAGAAAATAAAAAACTTGATATAAATATACAACGAATGACACACCTAACTAGTTTATGGCTGTAAGGTCTTTGATGATCTTTAAGGTCCCTTCCAACCCAAACCATTCTGTGATTCTGTGACTTTCCCAAAGACATACTATGATCATAGTTCCATGGAAAGGCGTGACTCAGCATAGGCATGTCGACTGCCCTGTGAGCTGCTGTAACTTGCCAGACAGAAGAAGCCAGCGTAGTACAAAGAAAGAGTAAGAGTTTTCTCCGATTACTGGGCCATTAAAACAGCTAAGGCAACTGCCGGTGCTGTCGTGGGGGAAAAGAGTGCACTGATGCATGGATGGAGAGGGAGGAAGGAGCCCTCATGCACTCAGTAACCTATCAAAGTGCAACCAAAAAACTCTTATATTAAATAAATACACACTCATGTGTCTATGAAGAGACAAGAACATAACACTTGAAAATACCGGGTTGTAATTGAATTGTATTTTAATACAGCTAATGAACTAAATCTATTTTTAGCTGAATGATCTTACCTTATTTCACAATTTGTTAGCTTTTTAAAAGCAATGATAATCTTTTATCTTTATTTTTAGATCCTCCATAAAAAGTAGAATTTTATGTACCATGGGATTATTCTAGGGACAATAGTGGCAGATTTACACAGAATATTTAGCATTTAATGTTAAGAGAAATAAAATAATTTAGGATCGATGCTAGATGCTTAAAGTAAGTGCAACTCTTTTACGTTAAATATCTTAGCTGTGTGTTAATCTTTCAATCTGATTTATAGTCCTTCCCTATACTAAAAGTATAATTAACAGATTCCTATAAATTTTACCAGAAAACATCTGAATGGACCATGTACCTAACACATAGAGGATACTGCTTATTTCAGCACGGCATGGCAGTATCTACAAATAACTTTAATCACAGTGAGATGTTACTTCCACAGCCTAGGAAAATGTACCAAATGTAAAGTATAAAAGCCAGTGCAGCCTACTGTAATAAAGGTTCTGATCCTGTAAGTCATTATGAGCAGTCATCGAGATGACAGTGGGATTATCCACTTTAGGCAAGTTCAACGCACGTAAGGCTTCACAGACTTCAGCCTTAAGAGACTAAAAGGGGGTGCTTCCCTAAGAAGAGAAATTTACACCCAGTAAGTAACACCTCCAGGATTGGAATGCTCAAAAAAATCCCAAACAAAATACCACCAAAACAAAAAGAACATTGGGAGTACCAAAGCAAGACCCATATCACTCAACAGAATCTGAGAAGTGAGTAGTTTGCGCTAATATTTAGCTACTACCATAGGTTATACTATTTTGCTTATATAAAACTACGCATATAAACCTACATTTACAGTCAGTTTAGTCAAACATCAGAAATGTAAGAAAACCAAAACCACTAACACACACTTTAGTTATATATATTAACAGTATTCTAGACAAGAGTTCAGCACTGGTAAAATGAAAAGTAAGTGACTTTCAAAGTCAGGGACTGAAGAGTTAAAAAGTGGCCTACTTCAGCACTTAAACCCACAAAATAAAAAGCCAAAAGAGAATGTGACATAGATTTAAATAAAACACACAGCTGATGAATCACATGAAACAAATTAGCTGAATTTTAATGCCAGCTCTACTTAAGTCTGAATGCGAACAGTGTTCTGAATACGATGAACAAAGCTACTGTTCAGAAGCCAATAGCCCACTGCTGGTGTGCAGATTGAAGTCTCTACTCTAACCTCCTGAGCTCAATGTCTTAAACTACGTCTCTGAAAGAAATATTTATGTAAATGATAATCTTTTGGCAAAGAGCCACAAAATTCGCATGTGCCTGTACTGCTCAGATAAAAAAATAAAAGGTTAGCATGTAAAGCTCTTTAGGAGTTACTTCTAAAATATAAGCACACAGATCTAAAAATAAAGCACTGTGAACACCCAATTCTCATTTTAGGACTAGATTTTCCTGAGGCAGAAGAACTATTCTTCAAATCAGAAACATCAAAAACTGTCACTGTTAGAGTTCTGCTTCCACAAGAAATTACTTGAATTTAAAAGGAATGAGCCCAGAACAGAACATTACACTGACAGAAGAGAACCTTAAAAATTCATCCCACTATTTCACACGTGTTCTTTCCATGCGCAGCTAAAATTAAAAACTGCTTGCAGTGTGGGTTAAGTTATATTCCAACAACGATGGATTATTTCCGTATTTTTCTTCAAATAAAATAATTTATTACAAGTAGATATAGGTATGTCATCATATCTTCCATTCAAGAGACTGTGAAGCTGCACCAATGTTTTTCTATTTTATGTTCAATTCACACTCCCACCACTGATTTGGCAAATAACCTCCACGTTCCAACAGTGGGTCCGGCCCGGCTTAGACACTGAGCTGTACATGACACAGCCTACCTACCGCGGGAGATGGCTGCCAGCACAGGATGGGGTCCTTCACCCGGCCAGGGGGTGGTAAAAAGGCAGCAGCATCAACTACAGGCTCTATCGCCTCTTCCCCCGGCCAGGGGTTTCACTGTGCCTGTCCCCAAGACCAGCTCTGGTAGGGCGCAGCTGAGTAACCTGGGATCGGACTGCTGCGACAGGAGATGTGAGCAGCCGCCCTGGAGGTCGCTCTTGCTTGATCTGAGAAGTGCCTTCGAGCTCAGGCCTTGGCCTTTAGTCCGTGTCTGAGCTACGTCTATGCCTTACTGGTCATGACCTTGACTCACTGACTTGACTTCTTGGCTTGACCTGAAACGTGCCTCATGGCTACAGACCACCGGGCTGTTTGCTGTCCCTGGCTACTGAACCTGCTCTAATCTGCCCGTTTGGCTACTGCAGGACTGCGTTCCTTGCTCACGAGGCCTCTCTTGCTGTCCTCCTCAGCTCCCAGCTTGCCTTCTCTCGTGGAGCAGCCTCCTTACTGCTCCTGGACAGGTGGAAGGTTGACTTCCTCTGCAAGTCCTCATGCTCAGAAGGACTGTTCTCCCTGCTCTTTCCAAACCTCTTTCTCTGAACATGAAAACAAAGAAAAGCTACAAAATCTCTTTGCATACCTGAATTTTTTCTTTTTTTTCCTCACGTGTTTACAGGAGCAAGTAACTCTGGACAAGAGTCATTTAACTCCTGCACTCCATGTAAAGCAGCAGACCTCACTATTTGTTATTAAATAATACCTAGAGCAACAGAAGGCATGTCAACCTTCATCCATCACGAGCCTGTTAAAATTGTGTTGAGAGAAAAAAGACAAAAATTTTGCTTAAAGTAATGAAATAACTCTTCATTAAAAATGAAAGAAAAATATGTTTTCTAAAGGTTTGCTACTGAGAAACAGAAAACTAGAAATTCTGGGCCACTTTGGAACATAATACAAAATTTTGATGCTTAACAGTCTGCTAATTAGACCTCTGATCTCTAATAATCAAATACTAATAATGTATTTTATGCTTTGCTCTGAAGTTATTTATCCTGTTGTTCTCATGTGTGGTCAGTATAGGGATCCCCCTTTATGCCTGGGGGAGGGTGGTGGTGGTGCATTTTCTCTGGATTAAAAGCTCTCACACAAAACACTCCAGAAAATTTGCAGTACTATCAACATAACAAGAATAGTGCTGCAAATAGTGTTTCAAACTGAAACTTGCAACAGGTCATTTGGACATTGAAAAACACCATCTCCTTACCTGCCCACTTGTATAGAGGCAGGAATAAAAACTCATCACACACTCAAAGGTAAAACATAAGGGAATCAATGTTTTAACTTAATAAAGAACAACAGAAAAAAGCTGTAGTTTGATATATCTACCTAGACAAAAATTATAAACCCCTCA